GTTGGCACTGTTGAACTCAAAAGATTATACTAAAAACTGTCAATATTTTTATAATTTAGTGTTATTATAGACAGTTAGGTATAATATTATTTTATCGTAAATAATTACAATTTTAAAAGTTATTATAATAACTCAATATATCATACAATATACAAATAATATTTTTAGCAGCAAAAAAAACAAAAATTGTGTTCAAAGTCAGTAAATATAAGTAAAAAACATGCAGGTGTTTTTTCAACCATAAAATAAACACCTCCATTTTTCGTTTTAGTATAACATTTATTCAAATTCTGATTTTTAGAATTTTTAATTATATACCTATGATAAAGACTATATTTTTTGTCGTACCCCTTGGTGATACAAACTTATATTTTATTTTCAAATGAGACCCCCCCCCCTTTTTTTACCGTGAATTATTAAGTGCGTGATTTTCTTAAAAATGTTTGTCTATAAAAATTCTTATAAGTAGTTTCTGRGATATTAAATGTTTGTATCAAGGAGAATAATCATTAAAAATAGTTTTCTAAAAATATAAAGTATAAGTAATATTAGATGTGGTAGTCATTATACTTCAATATTTTTTATAAATTATTTAGACTAGCTGATAAATCAAAGGTAGTAAGTACTAAATTCTAACATTTTAAAACCATCTGCTCCCACTTAATCCATTACCACATAGACATGTATAGTTGCATGTATAGTTGTAAACTTGTACATATAACCCAACTTAAAAACTACTGTTTCAAATTTCGATTAGATGCATTCAAATTAAAAGCGAATAAAGGGGGTCCCATTTGAAAAAAAAACATAAGTTTTAACTGTTGTAATATTTCCCCTAAGTGGTAAAAAAAATCTCAAGTATTTGAAAATATTGTCATTGGGTGTATTTAGAAATTCCAAAAATCAGAATTTGAATATACATATGCATGTTTTATAAAAGTATACATAAAAAATCACCCTGTACAGTATAAACGTATTACTCCTTGAATTACCTACTTATGCAACTTTTTTTTAACCTTTTTAACCTTTTTTTTAAGAGGAGTGAGAAAACTAAAAAAGTTAAACAAATGTTTTGTTGATTATTCATTTTTATCACCAACTGAAGGGAACGCCAAAAAAATATGATTAATATGTGTTCATATTATGACAT